CCAGCACTGAACATCGTCTTGAACGAAGAAGTCATCTAAACCAGCAGATTAGCCATTCCACCCCTTTCATCCTGCTTCGCAAAACCGTTGGTGATCTTGAGGGAAGAGGTCTTCCAACACCAAAGGCAAACAACTGCTTAATGAACTGATCTTTTGCCTAGCTACCGGGCTCAAGTTGAATAAAAACAGCTGAGCAGCAACTTCCTGAATATAGTGTTCAAGAGTCTTTAATCTATTCCAACGTCCTTTCCATTGAATCTGACTAATGTTGCCGCGCTGCAAATATTCATGGGTAGCTCCTGAGCCACGGAGCGTTCCAGGTGTAGCTCCTCCTTCCGCCTGGCGTCGGGGGATCTGCAAGCGATCCATAATACTGTTCCACTGCCGCCTGTACGCAGCGGTTGATGCTGGAAACAATTTTGTGTCCAATGCTTGAAGGCCAAACACGCACCAAGCAAGAAAACTCAAAGAATCATCATCGACTCTAACGTGTTGTTTTCGAGCGAAGCGTGAGGTTTTAGGGTTTTTGACAAAAATGTACAACGAACGTGTCTCCATCATGGAATCAGAGGGGAAGATCAAGTCCCTCCGTGTCAGTTGAAGAAATTCGTTGGGGTGCAACATTCCGCCAAACCCGAGTGCGGTGATCGCAGCCAACGACCACCACCCCCACAGTAGGGACAAACAAAGTACTGCGCGCAAAACAGGAGCTGAAAGAACGGCCCGGCATTGGCCAGGCTCCTCTAGTTGCCACTTCTTGTCAACAGCCCAAGCGCCACTTAGACATGATCTAAACTCTGGGCGCAACTGTTGCACTGCTGTAATGGCGTAAACTAGCCGCGCCAATATCGTGGAGCTCCCTGCTTGAACAACGCAAGCCCGTAGCCCTTAAGACCCAAGTTTGCAAGCTCAGCAGTACTTAGAATTTCGTCCAGCGTCACACGGGCTTCAGTAGAACACCAAAGCCCGAAGGCCTCCAAGCATTTCTGCATTCGAACAGAGGTCGCCTGCGCAAACCCGCCCATCATATTCAAATCCCCTCTGGGCTCATAGCTGGAAAACTGTTTAGGCCCAGGATTCTGTTCGATGTCTCCTGCCATCAGTAGGAGGAGGCGATACCACCTCCCAACAGGCCGAATCCATCCTGCTGATGTCAACATGATGTCAAAAGGTGCTGCGTCGCCGTCAACCAATGCTTTCAACCAAAAAGGGACAGGTCGACTCGGAGGAGGAACCGGGCCATCCCTTGACGGCCCGTCGGCCCGATTCCATGCAGACCTGCAACGCAATGTGCCCGGATACAAACCGCTCCCAATCAGATAGGGAAGTGTGCTTCTCAAAACCCTGCTCAATGCTTTGCTACTGCTGCGGCCCTTGGCCACGGCTCCCATGGTGACCCTGCTATCTAACAATGCAACAAGACGACTGTTGTAGCAAACTTTTGAAATCGAGTTGATCCAACTCTTGTAAGTTCTGCATTCCAAACAATTGATATGACCGGAACGTCGGAATTTGTATCGAAACAACTCCTTGTGAGGAAGACACTCACATAGGTCCTCGACCCACTCTGGGTCGTCATGCCAAGCCCTGTCCCACCGTGCGCCTAAGTCACAAGAATCTTCTGCAGCGTCGGCCACACGGTGCTCCAGCTTCCGCTTCGTCGAAGATCGGTGCTCTGCTGAACTCCCAGCTGCCATCACCTGACAAAGTGGGAGGGGGTAACTTGCAGAATACGCACTGACTGCTTCTCCTGGGGTCGGAAGCTTTCCGTACACCGTCTTGCAATTTGGCTTGCAGCGAGAAAGGAAAACAGGGATTGATGCTTTAGTGAACAAACCCTCAATGGTGAAGCGCCTCCCCTTATAGTTGCAAGAACATTTACCACTGAGAGGGACATACCAATGCTTGTTGCGCAGCCATTGACTGGCTTTTTGAAAAGCAGATCCATAAGAACAGAAGCAGAACCGAGCAATGGCGCAGCCCAAGCCGAGCAATCTCTGAAAGGCAGCTAACCGGAACATCACTGACGACCCTGGTTGCTCACAAGACACGTAGGCTCCTGCTTGAAGAGCCAGTGTCAGCAGAAACGCTGTTCGAACTGCTAACAGAGTTTGCTCCTTAGTCAAGGCATCGTCAAGATCAAACCCAGCTGGCTCAGATTTGGATCTGAGCCTGGGCCTTCCCAATGTGATTCACCTATTGCTCCATTGTAAGCTAAAGTTGCAAGATCACGAAACGTCTGATTATTGGAAAGATCACCGTAACCTCTACCTTTAGCTGTTCGCTCAATGCCAGGATGCACTCGAAGGCCACATTGTCTGTGACAACTGCTCCAG